AATGAAAAAAAAAAAAAATCTTATAAAAAAAAAAACTAATTTTTTTTTTTTTTTTTTTTTTTTTGTGAATTTCATCCTTTTTCCCAAATATAAGGCTCAAATTTAAGTCACTAATAACCACTTGAACTTTGCGCTTGATTTCATAAAGATGCTACTTATAATTAAAAATAAATAACTCATGAATAAAAAATTGCTTCTATGTAAAAAATGCTTATAAGTAAAAATTACTACTCAACACTAAAATCACAAAGTACAAAAATAACTTAAAAGACGAAAGTTCACCTATAAGTATAAAAGTCACCTAAATAAAATAAAATAACTTATATGTAAAACATTATTTATTAACTATATAATTCACTTAAAATTAATAATGTCACGTCCAAGTAAAAAAATTATTAATAATTAAAAATTCATTTATAAGTAGAAAAATTATAAAATTTATTTATAAAAATTTACTCATGACTAAAAACAAAAACTTCGCTTACATGTAAAGAAAGTTACCGAAAGCACTAGATGTAAGAAAAAATTAGAACAATACCCCTAGCTAGTTCATCATAATAAAATTTTCCCAATCCTATCCTTCCCTAATATATCCGTCCTAATCAAATCTTCCAATCCAATAAATTATCTTAAGTTTACAATAGAATAGCTTTGCACTTAAAACACGGTAAGATTCACATCTCACATTTGCCTCCAACAAAGTCCTTACTATTTGCGCTGTTTAACTATATCATTAAAAAGTTAAGTTGCTAAGTTTTTTCCTCGCTTCCAATTCGTTCTATTTTCTTACTTGTACAGAAATTATAGTGGGTTGATAAAAAAGGTAGACTTACGTGAGGTTCACCTGCCTTATTAATTAATGGTAAAATTGATTAACTTTCTATATTAAGAGCCAACTTGCTGCAAACTTGAAAATCCAGCACCCACTTATTACAACTCGCGTAGAGGACTATACAATTTTCTTTTATAAATATATTATTATATATATTTTTTTAAAAGCTCTCTTCAATTTGTCTTTTTTGAGCTTATAGTCATAGTGACAGTTTGAAGAATCAGATTTTTTTTTTGAAGAATCAGATTTCAATGCCCCTATTCATTAGGATGCGGATTTTTTTTTTTAAAACAACATTTTTTTTAACGTATAAATGTACACATAAGTACCTTGAAACTCAACGACGGGTTAAGGAATTTTAGGTACAATTTTAATTAGATTTCAAACATGTGTTGTGATTTGGGTGAACACTTTTGATACACATCTTGAGATTCAACAATAGGCGAAAGGATTTAGAGTAAATTTTCAAATTAACTTCATATTAATATTACTATCCTTACTTAGAATTATTAAGCATAGTTATCTCCTAATGATTTATTTGATGAGGCTGATTGTAGCATAATATATTAAATTCAGAAACATTATATTATATAGTGCTTCGATTTCCACTACCAACACTTTCTCGGTCGAGTTTGTCACACCGAACTTGCCTAGTACGGTTTACTTGACTGGTGTGGTTTGCAGACTATTGCGTCAACTCAAAAGTTTACCTAATGCGCACCCGAAAAGTAGCGGCTGCGAATATATGTGTGTGTGTGCGCGCGCGCGCTTCTATAGTTTTGTCACATATAGCAGTTTTTGAGTAATTGTATATAACGAGTAAATTTAATCAATCCTCTCACAGCTTTATTTTACATTACTACTTGCTCACTCAATAATGAAAGATAATCCCTTGCTCACCCATTTATCCATTTGCTTACCCATTCATCACCTTCAACTAATGGAATGTGCCACGTGGCAGACGAAAATCTAACGTGGCACATCACAGACTTTAAATCAGACCAAATGGGGGAAAATTGCAAAAAGCCGATGACAATTTCCTTTCTTTGTTCGATCTTCAAAATGCGTTTTTATTAAAAACTAATTGTTTTATCTATATTCAGACTGGAACCCTCATTTCCTCTTCATCCACATCAATAACCCAAAGATCAAATTTTCATGTTGATTAATCACATTCTACCTAATCCTGAGCAAAACCAAATTTTTTGGAGCAAGAAAATCTTCCAGTCCTGGGTATGGAATGCAATGTCACCCTGGAAGGAACAAGAATAGTGATGCAGACCTGACATTGGACAAAAAGGGATTGAAACCTCACTACTGAAAAAATGATATTTTATAACTAATCTTTCAATGACCAAATCAATCTGGTCGTTAAAAGCTATTTTCAAAAACTAAAGGATACGTTTGGTCATAGAAAATTATGGTGAACATTCGAATTTTGAGTTAGTTGGAAATATATTATAACGACCAGAAAGTTAGTTGTTAATCCTATATTTTTTGCGACAAAATTAATATTTGTCGTTGGGAGTGGGCGCCAAAACAAGAAAGTCCGCCAAAATATCTGTTGATATTCAACGACCAAGTAATCAGTTGTTAGAAACACAAATAATATAGTAAATATTCAACTACCATTGTTTCTAGTCGTTAATATAGTAAAACAACAACTAATTTTATCTTGTTGTTGAAAATTCCATATTTAAAAATGAAAGCACATAAGTTTAACATTCATTTCGTGTAGGTTGTACCATTAATAAATTTTTTCAAAGCAAATGCGACACTTTAAGTTTAAGTTCTCATTATTAAATATTTTAATACAAGAAACAAAATGCTAAAACAAAGTTTTGTTTTAATTAGCAATATTATTTTAACAATATTCAATGTTTAACAATTTTTTTCTCATAAAACTAATTCGTAGGTTTAACACAGTAGCATACATATAACTAATTCGTCTGAATCAAAGAGAAGTCTATGACTCGTTTTTGTTTAGTCTACACACCTTTTGTGCTTAAAGTCTAGGACACATTTGTAACTAAGGTATTGGACATCTTTTGTAAGTAGGTATATAATAGCTTTGGTAATTAAGGTATAGGACATCTTATATATTAGGTTCTATGGCACATTTTGTGGTTAAATATATGAGACATTTTATTAGTAATTGTTATATATGCAATGATGTTTACCCATTTGTAGCTGTTATTGTATGTATATTTGTTCATTTCTTTATTTTTATTATTTTCTAGTGTATCTTTTATTATATTTACTAATTAGGAAAAAAAATAATGAATTACAACAATTATCTTGCAGTTGCTAACCGTTCAACTAAACCATTGGTCAAAGTATTAGCAGTAACCAAATATTGGTTGTTGGAACATTAAATATAACTATATTGATTATTCGCCGACCAATTAGTGGTTTCCAAAGCATTGTAATAGCAACCAAATTTTAGCTAGAACGGGGTGT